GGGGGATCTAGTGGCCTGTTACAAACTAGTCGGGGGGGATCAGCAGGCACTGGGGGAGTCCCTGTTCCCCCGAGCACTGCCAGGAGTGACCAGGAATAATGGTCACAAGCTGGCAGAGGGTAGGTTTAGGCTAGATATCAGGAGGCGCGAGTTCACAGTCAGGGCGGCTAGGATCTGGAACCAACTTCCGAGAGAAGTGGTGCTGGCTCCTACCCTGGGGGTCTTTAAGAAGAGGCTGGATGAACAGCTTGCTGGGGTCATCTGACCCCAGTACTCTTTCCTGCCATGGCAGGGGGTCGGACTAGATGATCTACTCAGGTCCCTTCCGATCCGACCAACTATGAAACTATGAAAAGCCTCCATCTGCCAAAGCCCCAAGCAGCTGACTGCGGCACAGCGCAGGGAGAGCCCTGTAATGCCAAATATCACCAAAGGTGCAACTCAGGCCAGATCCAAAGGCTACATAGGCTGTAGGTTGCAGACCCCTGTGCTAATGGACCTAGTGGGTAACCTTGAAAAATATGTGAAGAAACTGTTTCCCATCTGTGAAATGGGGAGAATGGGACTGACCTGCCCTGGAAAGTACTTTGGGATCTGTTGATGAAAAGTGCTACCTAAGAGCTAGGTATTCTGTCATTGAGCCTTATCCCCTGGCATAGTGTTGTCTTTGCTGGTATAGTCTGCATTGCATACTCAAATGTAAGCCCTTCATAATCGGCATAACATGTTGCCCATGGAGGAAAACCAAAGTGAGAACATGTATGCCAAAAGTTCTAGCTGGAGGCGTCACAGGGCAGTAACAGCACACGGGGCAGTGGTGCAGCACCAGCTATTTTGGTGCCCTCCCACCTCAAAAGATGGTGTCTCAGGCTGCTGCTCTGGTTGCCCCCCACCTACACTGCTTTTAAACATCAGTGTTGCAGGGAAGATGGTTGCTTGTTTCAGCATTCCCAAAGCTTCCTACAGTCTTTTGCTTATTATATCAAAGCTCTTTTTAAATTCTAACAGCTACAAGTATTTCATTTGGCCTGTTTGCCTTTTAGGCAGCAGACTGCCAGCGCTGGCTCTCCATGCTACCTGGGAATATCCTGGAGTCACGTGTGGCAGGACCTCAGCACGTGCCTTCTGTCCCAGAGGTCCCAAAGATCCTGTGTGGTGATGCTCCCCAGCAGAGGGAATGCAGAAGGGAGAAAAGCCCAGCCTGTGAGAGGAAATGTCTCTACTACACTCTAAAAGGAGAAAAACCCAGCCAGTACCAGAGGGCAATGCTGGCCCCCGATTCAGGTAGAGCACTTAAATGCATGTCCACCTGTATATACTGTACGTAAAATCAATAGGATGACTCGTGTTCAAAATGCAGTGCACAGGTAAGTACTTGGCTGAATCGGGGCGAAAGGCAGAGACAAGTGGAGCTGTTGAATTTATTCTGCTGACCAGTGTGAGGTAGGGCCAGCAGTTCTCCCTGGGATTCTTCAGGGACCGGACTGAACTGTCTTTGCATCTCACACAGACCCAGGCCCAAACCGTCATCAGCAGGTTGGGGGAGATGTTAATCTCAGTGAGAAAAGTTATATCACATATCAAATTCCCTCTTGAAAAATATCACATTAGCAATAGTTACTCAATGATAGTGGTAAAAATACATCCAGGTTATAGAACAATGCTGACCTTTTGTAAAGCATTTGGAGATTGCTGACAAAAAGAGTCACAGAAGAGCAGGCTATTATAGTATGATGGACTACAATGAGGTATTCAGTTTACCCAAGTTTACATGAGATATTTGGAGCATACACAAGTTTTCAAGCACCCAAGTTTGTGTGATGCTTGCAGCATCCGCTCTTTCTCTACATCTTTACAACCACTGACTCTCATTTTTATTCTGTGGGCTGTATAGAGCCATTCTGTAGCACAAGTACAGACAAACACAAGGGTCTCTTACTTTACTTGTATCTAGGAACATACTTTTGCTTTTCACATGTGAAAGATGCATGCTTTGATGACTACTCAAAATAAACAGCATGTACTAGAACAACACAAAAAAGCGTCGGGTTCATGTATTGGGAGGAGGTGAAGTTGTCTGAATGAGGGTCCCACAGACACTGGCTGGTCACCATGATATCCGCAATCTCATCTTTGTCTTTGTTTCCGATGGTGACGTTGACAATTAGCTTATACCGAGGAGGGGTGACTGTTTTGACCAGGCGTTTTATTTCTTCACTTACAGCTGTACTGAGGCTGGCGCCTTTCTCAGGCTTGTAGGTAACATGTGCAAGTTTGGCTGGTAAATATTCTCTGATCAGCTCCTCTGCTTTGGCACAAGAGAATTTTTCTTTTGGGTTCGCTACTGAGTCTGGAATCTGCAACAAAGGGTCAGTTCATGTAACTTGTATTAGTGTAGTGCTTAGAGAAGCTAGTCAGGATTGAGACCAGATTATATTAGATCCTGCACAGATGCACATAACTGTATGTATGTGCATGCGTGACGTGTACATCACAACACATTCTCTCCTAACCGTACGAACCTCTGCAGTTTCAAAGAGCTATGTGGGCTTGGAAAACCACACAGCTTCCCTTCCCACCAATGAGAGTTGTCTCTTACTGCTAGATAACTGGAATTATCCTATGATGGACCCAAGCATACTACTAAAGCAACTGTTTCAGTGCAGGGGGATTACGACAAAGTTGTTCCCCCACAACATAAAATGTGGTTCTGGACCCTGGATTTTGCTTTTAAAACAGGCTTTGATTCCATCTGCATGGTAATATCAAGCCTTGTTTTAATCATGTTGGGGAAGCCATTGCACTGCTATTGATGGTTTTATGACCATGTCCTCTCCAGCAGGGAAGCTACACGGTACTGATCATGTCAAACAGCCATTCATGAATCATTGGTGTAAGTCCAATACTAGAATTACTTTCAGAAAACCTGGAGTACGTTCTGTCTTTCCTGGCTAAGACCTCAGGAGAGGAATCTTCCCAGGACAGCCTTCAGACACATTTTTAAAAGCTTTGCTTGCACACATCTGGCTTTGAAAATCTGACCCACTAGAGACTGCTAAGAGCCTGTGAAACGGAAAACTTCAAGTTAGCTTTGGAAAAGTATTTCAGAGCAAAAGCTGGGACTATTCCTTTAAATCCAACCCCAATATGTCTGGGTATTTCAGCACATATGGAACATGATGGTTAGAACCCTACCCAGCTGCTCTGGCCAGTCTGCTGCGAAAATGTCTCTTTATTCATGGCTAGAAGGGAGGGTAGTGAGAGACAGACCAGGCTGCGAGTACTGTGGCTTGCCATCCTGCACAGGAAGGGGGAAGCTCAGTCTCCAGCATCCTTTGGGCAAAAGACGTTCTTCAGGAGAAATTCTGCTTGTGACCCCAGGAATGTCAAGATCCTTCAGCAGCGACTCGTGGGGTCTTTAAGGACAGTCCATGCTGGAGCAGTGCTCAGCGCGCTTTGTTTTCCATTAGCCACAGACTTTCCCCCCCACCTGCTTATGTTCTCGCTCTGCAGGAAGGATCTCACATGCTGAAAAGCTTCCTTCTGCTCAACCTTGAATTTGCCCCTCTGCTGGATAAGATAGCCCTAGTTGGAGGGGGTGGGGGGATCTCAATTAGTGTTTTGTGATTAAAAGCCAGCAATCCTATGCATCCGGCTGCCCAGTGTCTGTGTGCCCCAGCTACTCTGTTGGCAGAATTCTGCCCCTGCTTTTCACCTCCTGCAGGAAGAGGAGTTTCCTTGCTTTTTCAGAGATGCTGGGAGCAGGTCAGAGAGAGATCCCACAGGGAGAGTTTCATTGGGAAATGGTGTGATATTGATTTCTCCATCAATTATTAACTGGATTCTTAGTGCTGCATGTAGAGCCCTCCCTGAAGGTGCAGATGGCTCGTTTATCGCCAGGAGGCAGGGATCATATCCTGCGAGCTCCCAGCCAGCACTGGCCTGCTCTCTGCAGGACAGTTGTAATGCTCTCCGCACTCCCAAGCAATGGGACTTTAACAACTTCCCCAAGGAAGCTCCTCCGCAGCCTAATGCAGCTCTCGGCCAGGAAGGATATTTTTCCTCTGATGGGCAACCTAAGTATCCTCTTAATTTCATCTCATCATTTCCTGCCTAAATAATTCCTCTTCTTTCTTGGCAGTGTATTGAAACCTTTGGTCTTCTCTGAAGTCCTGCAGTTTGCTGCCCTCTGCTCGAAGTTAATCCCATTCTTTTTTCAACTTATGATCTGGTAGAGCTCAGGTGAGACGCAGGTACTGCATGACCCCATTTCTAGTGAAGTCCAGTGGCTCTGGGACAAATGAGTTACATTGGGTCTGATCCAGAGCTCCTTGCTCTTCACAGAACAGGCCAAACTGATCGATCGTATTAATTCCTCCCCACACCCTCCATCCCAGGATTGCACAGCTGACAAATGGCAAGCCTTTGGTTTGGCGCAGCTTCCAAACTGGAAGCCCCAGGTCACGAGAGGGTGAACATGTCACCCAGCTGATATATGGTATCTCCGAGGAGCAGATCGCAGCTGGTCAGCCTGAACAGCCCCTCCAGTGCCTCTCCTCACTAGCTGAGGAGTGTCATTGTATCCACAGGGTACAACAAATGGCACAAGCTGGTGTCACAGGAAGGGACAGGGAAGAGGAACAACACAAATAAACCACACATCCTAGTCCCAGTCATTGCATACTAGGCAGGCAGGCAGCTTGTTGCTGATAGTAGCCAGTGACAGATGCTCGAGAGGAAGATGGGAAACCCAGAATGCTCTGCCCAATTGTACAGCAAAGCAGCACTGGGGAAACATGTGGGTCTTGAAACCAGATACCAACAGCCCCACTCCTTCTAGTGTGAGGGTTCATTGTCTCATTGTTTTTTGTCCTCTCAGTGCAGATCTGGAGATTGGTAATCCTAAGGACTGGATGCACAAGGTCTGCCAATGCCACCTGGAGCTGCGGACACTCAGCATCGCTGAAACTCAGATGCTAAAGGCTTGCCACTCCTCAGTGAAAGGTTCTAGGAAACCCCTGGTAACCTCAGTTAAATGGAGAGGGCAAGCTTGCCATGCCAGACAGTGGTACCCTCCAAGCTGCTGCCCTGCTCCACATGGGCTCTCACTGATACTGGAAGCAGTGTGGCTATGTCTGTCTCTGGGCATTTGTAGAGGACACTTTAAAGCGGGTTTAAAGAGGGTTAAATGCCTTTTGCACCGCTTCAATGGCATTGCTGTTTGCACATTCAGCAGCATATTGCACGTTAATTCCAGCCACAGTAGCACATTCGGCAGTGTAATGCGCCGTAAATGACTTTGGGACGTAGCAAATGATTTTGGGGTGCTGTAAAGTAAAACACCTCCGAGGAGTTTTAATTTCCTACCCTACAGCTGTGGAGGGAAGTACTGGGCTCCATGCGGCTCAGGGGCTGTGCAGACAGCCCAGCAGCAGCCTGGGAAGGCAGGCTCCACAAAAGGAAAAAAAAAAAGAAGCGGCGAGCCTGAACTTTCCCCTCCTGGAGCCTGCCTGAGCTGCACAGGGGCCTGGTGTTTCCCTTCATAGCTGCAGTGTCCCCCGGACTACCTGAGCCGAGTGCCTGCGGGCGGGTGCCACCTGAAGGGGGGGCCCCCCCACTGCTGCAGAGGGAAGCACCAGACCCACCCACAGCCCAGGGACCACTCCGTCCACCAGCAGCTCTCCCTCCCTTTCCCGCCACTGGAGAAGCAGGTAAGGATCGGGCTCTGACAGGTATACAGGGCATGGGGGTTTACTTTGCCCTAAATTGAACTGGTGTTTTTAAAAAACCACCGCTTCAATTTAGGGAGAATTAAACCCCCGTGTTGTGTACAAATGCCCAAGGTGCTACTGTCAGGCTAATTATCGGGGGTGGGCTAATTGGCCCTGCCCCTCTGCAGTGCTAAGTAGCTCAGCCAAGAGCCATGCTGATGCAGCAACACCACTCCTGGTTTACAAGGCAGCCTGTGTGGTACAGCACACCATGTTTGGGGGCACTGCTGTCTGGCACAGCAGTAAGTTTGCTGTGGAGCCATGCCCTAGCGCAAAGTAATGTCGCAGTAGGCAACTTCTCAGCTCTTGCTGACGTGAGTGGAAGCTCCAAGCTGTTTTATCTTCATTTTTTAACTCTCATTATCTCAATGTCCAGCTCAAGGTATGAAATTCACTCTTCTTCCTAAGAGAAGTCCAGTCCTTGGGCCTGATTCAAAGCCGCTGAGTGGGATCAGACTCAGCTGGGTTTTCCAAAGGCACCCATCTTCCAAGCAAGTGCTGCAGTGAGCCCAGCCTATGTGTGCTTTGAAAACCTGGCTGTAAGCACTTACCCCCTCAGCAAAATGTTACTGAACTGAAATAATGCTCACTGGGCTCGGTTCTGAAAGGGGTAGGTTCTGTCCAACTATTCAGTCATATTCCCCATCGTGCATAGGCGACGTGTAGCAGCGGCACAGAGGAGCACGTGCCCACCCTGAGATTAGCCACCACCGAAGCCACCACCAGCTTCTGCGGGCAGTCACCAACCCCCCCACCCTTGCTGTCGATGCAGCTGCAGGGGGACCCTGCTCACTGCTTGCTGCTGCTGACAGCGTGGACAGTGGCTGCAGGTGGTCCCCACGCACCACCCACCACTTGCCACCCCCCGTCGCAGACACTCCAGTGCCTGCGGGTTGTCCCCGCTCACCGCCAACATGCCCCTCCTGCTAACACCGCCGCCTGCGGAAAGTCGCTGTGCCCCTCCAGTCTCCAGGGGCACACATTGTTCATGCCATCATGACATCTGTAATATGTCACTGAAAGAGTCCTGAGCCCAGTCTCATCCAGCCTTTTCAGTGGAGCATTGTAGTTGTAAAAGAGGCCAGTTCCAACATGCCTGCTCCCATTGCCCTTCAATGGTCAGTCTTCATTGCCCTTACCCTCAACTGTGGGCATGTCTACACGAGACGCTTTCTGCGCATTAGCCTGATAACACTGCAGTAGAGCATCATGGCAAAAACCATGCTAATAGCCTACTGCGCAGTGTTTTTAGGCTAATGCACAGTAAGTGTCACTAAATAACTGTGCTGGTGCTACTCCACAGCAACTTTAGTTACTTCACATTCAGTTAGTTCTTCATTAAGCACTAAACTCAACGGACAGTATTTACGGTGCATTAATGAACGTGCAGGCACGCCCTGTATGGCTGACCAGGAGAGACCAATCATAAACGAGTCAAATAAATGAACCAGAGCCAGCAAAAGGAGCACATACCTGCTCATTGATGATGGTGATAGGCTTGTGATGAGAGACCTGGAGTCTTGATTGGCTTCGGGCACCAGTTCGGTTCTGAGAGTCAAATGGAGGTTTTAGTAGATGCTGATTTCCCTTGGCAATAGCACAACAGTTAACCCTTCATTCTTAGACTTCTGAATTACCAACCCATTCATCCAGGCTTTTCCCTCCATGCCAACCTGATAGCTTGGGGCCAAGGTGAACCCAAGCTTGTGCCACTATATAAGAGAATTGTGTGCTTCCAGGAAGCACACTAAAAGCCCACTTGGGCATGAACATCTGGCCCTTTAGTTTTCTGGAATATCCCTACTAACCAACACTAATCACCATCTACCTCCCATTATCATAGTGGTATGACAGCCTAGTGACCCTGCCAGCTGTCACCTTTGGGGCCATTGCTGGATGGACTTAAGAGACTCAGGCTCTACACCCTGCACCACTGACCTGCATAAGGGGCCCAGCAGGCACTGCCGTAATATGTGGCTGTACCACATATTACGTCTTCCACCAAGCATTTCAAAGCACTCCATAGGAGTTACCTAGTTAAGCTTTACATCCATTTGAGGTAGGTAAGGGATCACTTCACCCCTATGGAAATACAGGCACTTCTGAGGCTGAGGGTAACTTTACTGTCCACTGGAATAAAGGAATTTACACTGATACTGTCTGGCTTGCAGTACATTTTGAAATGTATTACACCTTGTGGCATTTTCTATCCAAGGATCTCAACGTGCTCTCTGAGCATGGTTATGCTTCACCCTACTCGGTGACACAAAAGCAGGTTGCAGGGAGAGCAATCATCCCTGATTCACCGTTGAAGTAACCGTGCTTCAGAGAGGTTGCAAAATGCCCAAGGTCACCCAGGAAATCAGTGGCTAAGCTGGGACCAGAACCCAGATCTCCTTACACCCTGGCCTGCGCTTTAACCACAGACTTGTCCCCCCCAGTCAAAGCAGCTGAGGGAATTTAGATGTAGTGTCATTTACTCGAGTTGGAATTTGTCCCGGACGCTGTGGTTAACACCTTGTCTCCTACTGAAGCATTTTTCTAAGGACTCCTTGGGGCTTTGTAACAACTCCTTGTTTGTTTAACTAAAGGGAATAGGCAGCCCTTTAATACACTGTGTGGTTGAAATGGGAGCTATTCTGTATTGGTCTTCAGTGGCTGGACACCTCTACCTGTACGGTAGGCCTGGAGCTCAAGTGCTTTGCATTGGTGGTCCATCGTCTCCAATACCAAACACCCCATACCCTTTACCCAAGCTTATAATGGAGAAGCGTGGCAGCTTGTGGCCCAAGGAGTTAGTACCCTGCCTCTTGCTAGCAGCTTCAACAGCTGCCTGTAGCAGGTGAGTTGTGTGGGAGGGGAGTTAAACACATCATTATTGATTCCTGCATTGAGTAAAATGGATTTAACCCCAGGGCTAATCGTGTTAGCAGAGGCTGGTTGCAAAGGGCCAGGTACGATAAAGAAGTCGGAACAGCTTTCCTCAAGGGATTTGCTCTGAGAAAGAATGACGCCAGGCAGGAGCAGGGTGTACAACGGTGTCTCCGCCAATGGTGCCAACCAGGGCAAGGAGCACCCCAAAAAGCTTTCCACCCCAGTGATCTAGGCCAGCGTTAGAGCGATGAGGCTGGTCTAAAAGACTTGGCCTTGGTCCCACTGCTGGGAGCCATTCATGCTGTGAAGCAGAAGGCTGTGAAAAGCTTTCCCTCCCTTTCTTGTGTGTTTTTTTTGCGAGGCCCTTGAAGCCCAAAGGCTTGTCCTTCCCCTCACCCTCTCCCAGCTGGGCAAGCTGGTTCAAGCATTTCATCTCCCAAATCTTGTTTCTCTCCCTTGGGCAGTGGAAGTACAGCAGCAGAGAGCTTTGCCCGGCGAGTTGTCAGGCTGGCACTAGGCACCTGCACCCCTCTGCTTTGCTCGTGCATCTCAGACAGCCTAGACGCAGCTGCCTTGAGGAATGATACACCAGCTGCTTTCCTCTCCTGGTCTCCACCCTCCTGGCATCGGCTAAAGGGAATGGTTTCGGCACAGACTGGGGGATACCGGCTCCTTACTGGCAGGTGGATCTGGCTTGGAGTCCCGTCCCCCCCATCTAACCCGTGATACCTTGAATTCCTTTGAGAATTTCTGGGCAGCAAGGAGCCCCCTCAGGCTGATGCTTGCTTTGCTCCCAGGTGGTCTTGTGGTTTCCTTGCCCATCTGAAGCTTTGATGAGGACCCGCCAGCAGCAGGAGCGCCCAGAGCCTGGCAGGGAGCACACGGATGGAGAAGTGAATGAGTTTGGGGGCCTCCGGGGCAGTTTGGGACACTTGTGGCAGAGTTTAGGTCTGGGATCTAATTGTTTTCAGCACAGCTGTCTCAGCAGTTTGTGTGTCTCAGCAGTTGGTACAATCCCAGCTAACCACCCACTGGCAGACTGTCAACCTGTCCCCAGTTCAAAGTAAAAAAAATAGTAATTCACCCCATTGGCCAAACCATCTTATAAAACCCCAGCGTAGCCCCATCCATCCCACCCCCAGCCCACCCGCCC